AAATAAGCAATTGGGTTCCCCCCTTGAGACAGCACTGCTCCCACACTCATTCCACTAGCATCCGTTTCTACAATAAACGGTCTTGAGAAGTCAGGAAGCGCCAGAACAGGGGTAGAGGTCATGGCTTCTTTGAGTTGTTTGAACGCTGCTTCGGCCTTCTCAGATCACTCCCACCTTCCCTTCTTTAGTAGTTGGGTCAACGGTTGTGCTATGACTCTGTACCCCTTCACAAATTTCCGGTAATAACCGGTGAGACCCAGGAACCCACATAATCCTTTTACAGTTTTGGGCTTGGGCCAAGATAACATAGCCTGGATTTTGTCTTGGTTCACTACCACCCCTTTGCTGAAATAACATGGCCCAGATAATCTATTTGAATTGAGGAAAATTTGCACTTACTCCTCTTTACGAACAACCGATGATGTTTCAGAGTTTCTAGAACTATTCTCAAATGTTTGATGTGCTCCGCAAGGCTGTTACTATACACCAATATATCATCAAAAAAGACTAGTACAAACTTCCGTAGATAATCCTTGAACACTTCGTTCATTAGGGCCTAAAAAGAAGGAGCATTGGTTAAACCAAAGGGCATAACCAAAAATTCATAGTGCTCCTCATGAGTATGAAATGTTGTTTTGTGTTCATCTCCTATCTTGATTCGAATTTAGTGATATCCGGATTTGAGATCCAATTTGGAACTCATCAACGATAGGTATTGGAAACCTATCACTGTGGCTCTACTGACAGCATTGTAATCTACGCACATCCTCCATCCCCTATCTTTTATTCCTTACTAAGAGTACCGGGGCTGAGAAAGGACTATTACTGGGCATGATAATTCCTTCCTCCAACATGCTTCTCGTCAATTTTTCTATTTCTCTTTTTTGATATTGAGGGTATCTAAATTATTTAACACTTATGGGACGCCCTTCCTCCCACAAGGGAATTGCATGATCGTAGTTCCGGCTTGAAGGCAACCCCATAGGCTCTTCAAAAATTTCTTTAAATTCATCTAGTAGTGATTAAATACCTAGGTCGATCTGTTTTTGGGCCTTCATATCCCTACAACTCAAGGTTGATGGGACTTACCCAAGGTCTGAGAAGTCTTTTCTAGGCTTATAATTATTGGTTCACTATCCTGTACTCCCTTCAAAAGGTTTTCTCCTTCCTGATCTGAGTATTTCAAGCTTAGTGTGTTGAAATCCCATGTGATGGGCCCTAGGGATTTGAGCCAATTAATTCCTAAGACCGCATCATAACCAGGGAGTGATAATAGATAGAAGTCCGGGGTTATGGTAGTGCCTTGAATGGTAATGGGTACCTTGGAGCATTTCCCCATACCCTAAAGTCTTTCCCCACTTCCTACCATAACATCAAATGTAGTGTTCTTAGTTGGAAAATTTTGGGCCTTCTCAGCCATTCTTGGGTCCAAGAAATTATGTGTGTACCCACTATCTATCAATACATCCAGAGGTTGGGTTAGAATTCTACCAAACACGCACATGGCTTGGTATGCTGATGTACCTAGAAGGGCCTGCAATGATATCTTTGGTGTTGGGCTTGTCTCCTCTGGACTTTGTTCTTGTACTGGCTCACCCTCGTCTGTCTCCAGTTCTGGACCAACAATCCAAAAGAATTTTTGGATTTTACATCGGTGTTGTGGATGATAGACTTCATCACAATTGTAACATAGGCCCTTGGTCCGATGTTCCTTAGCTTCAGCAAGTGAAAGCTTCTTTATCTTTGGCAACTTAGTAGTGGTTGGGTTCGGTTGCAGTGTCATGCTCCTCTAAAACTCTAGCCTAGCGACTCGCTTCCTGGCATTCCACTCTTCCTCCTCTAAAAGAGCTAATCGGATGGCCCTTGTTAGAGTAGCAGGTTCTAGATTCTCCACGCCCGATCTCAATTCTGGTTTTAGCCTAACCATGAAGCATCCCCCCAAATGTTCCTCTGACCATCCTTTCACGTGACTCAAGAGGCGATGAAAGCTCTCCAGGTACTCCTGCACCGGCAAAGTCTGCACCAGCTTCATTAATCTTCCCGTATGGTTCCCCCTGACGGCCTGTTGAACCAGCTGTCCACCGTCTCTACAAACTGTTCCCACGCCATAGAAGGTTGATAGTTCTTTGCCCAGCAAAACCATTCCACCGCCCGACCTTTAAAGCCCATACTGGCAACCGTCAGTCATTGTTCCACCAACACCTCCTCTAGTTCAAAGTATTGGTGGATCAACAACAACCAGCCATCAACATTGGTACCGTCGAACCTTGGCAATTCCACCTTCAACCTCCGGAGTGACTAGGTAGGAGCCCCGCTCCCTTGAGTAAAGTCTTCCGTGTTCTATGGTGGCCGATGTGAGTTCACTTCAAATGTTGGTCGTGCATCAAGTCTACTCAGAATCTCGTTCAAGGTTTTCTGAAGAGATTCATGGCTCCTCTCCATGCTACTGACCCTCCGCTCTAAATCCTCCATCACTGCAGGATCGGTTAGCTCTGATACCAAAATGGTGTCAACCTTTTCTCGGAGGAGCCAAGAAGAGTGCTTCCTACCTCTCCAAGCTATGATGTTGTTGGCACCACTCAGGAGAAATCTCGAAGACTTGGTGTATTGAGAAATTATTATCTCAATTCTCTGCTTATTCGTGCTTTTGTAAGGGTTTTATAGGTAACCCTTACGGTTACAACCATGTGGGTCACTGCCACGTTGCAAATACAAATCATGGAAAGTTGGCCAATGATTGGCTATAATAACAACTGTCAAAAAGTAAAGAGTTTTGTGACAAGGTTCATGCAACCTGTGTGAACCTTTTACCCGATCATGAGATAATGGGCTGGGCCTCCCTTATACGGGCCTTCATCTAAAGGAGTGATCCGTATCAGAAAGTTTGACCTTTCCGATGACCGGGGCAATGGAGGTAGTGGATCACCAATCATTTCAGACCTATTCTTATTCCTTTTCAGAACGAGGTTCTACTCTCTCTCTCTCTCTCGTTCTATAGTAATGGGGTTCTACTTCTGTGTTCTGGTGTGATGGAAGAGAAGAATAAGAAAGGAAGAAAGAAAGGGACATTTGATTTTTATGTTTAATGTGCGTGAGAGATGAAATAGAGGCTTTCTGAAGACACGAGGAGCTCGTCATTGTCATCAATGTCATCGGCTTCGTCACCCAAATCGAGGCTTATCACCTCCTCTACCTCTACTGCTTCAAGGAGGTCAATGGCATGTTCCTACTTGGAATCATCCCTCTCCTCCGATAACTCTTCCCAACAGCTTTTAGTGTAGGAGACAAAACTTGGAATAAAGAAGAAAAAAGTAGAGGAAGAAATAGATCCCTCCTCTACCTCTATTGCTTCAAGGAGGTCGATGACATGCTCCTACTTGGAATCGTCCCTCTCCTTCGATAACTCTTCCCAACAACAAAAAGAACAATATGCTAGAAACTGTAGCAGTTGCCGACGTTGTTCTCGTCGTGAGAGAATAAGAAAGAATCAGAGAGGAGGGACTACCATGTCTAGGAAGATTTAGATTCAACTAAGGTATCCCTCCCTTTATTTCTCTCTCTTCCTCTCCTTTCTTTCTCACTTTTGTCAATCCAACAAGCTTTGCTCTACCATTTTCAGGGAAAAGCAAGGCCCAAAAACTAGCCATTATTATTAGAGTTRGCCTTGGTTCCTCCTTTCTCATTCTAACAATTGCCCTCTTCATCGGGTAGCGGAAGAACTAGAAGACCGAAACAGTATTGAACATAAATGTTTAGCAAACGAAAAACCCATTAACAATCTCTCTTCAAAACCAGAACCCACCAAAATTTTTCATTAATAACTAACTTTTGAGCTCATTTGGTTTTTTTGGCACAGACAAACAAGAGGCCATTTCGATAAGCCTCAACAATCTGAGATAGTTCACACTCCCTATTAAACATTGATAGAGTTTGTTGAATTTGTTGGTTCTGGGTCGGCCAAGTTTAGTGTTTGATCCTGCTTGGTCTCAATCTACAAATCATGGTTTTGGGTCCATCTCCTCGTATAAGTTTTGTTTGAAGTTCTCATTTTAAATAAGGATTTTGAAATTTTAAATAAGAATGGAACACTGATGGTAAGGAAGATTTAGTCAATTGTCAAAAAGTAAGGGTACTACTTTAAGACAATACTGAAACAGTAGAATTTCCTAAACCTCAGGGGTAGTTTAAAATATTTGCCCTTAACTTTTTTGAGAAGTTTGTCAAAAAAATAAAAATAATCTTATGATTTACAATACAATTCATGATTCGATTGGATTCAACTTTCTCTATGATTTAGAATACGACTACGATTTTCAAAACATTGAATACATCTCTTTAACACCTTCCTTTCCTATTCTTTACTGGTATATTGACAGCAACCCTTAGATAAGAGAAACAAATTCAAAACAATAACAATGCGAAGATTTAACTGGTTCAAGTATCCACTCCATCAAGAAGCCTTTTCCCGACAACCCAACTAGCATTCTTTGCAAGAATTTATTGTTTTCATTTACTGAATGACACTGCAGGGACAGTCAACATTCTCAACAATCTGGACATGATTGAATTGTAATACCTGTGAATTACAACATTGCGAAAGCACAGAGTTTCATCAAACTTCCATGAGGAAATAAAAGAAGATGGTTCCACATTTAAACTTGATTTTCTCTAGATGTAAATTTTCGAAACAAATCCATCTAATTGAATGAAAAAGTTGCATACATAATTGAAACCAAAATAATCATACTAAGTGAAAAACTGACCAGGATCAAAAAACTAGACCGCCCATAACTTGAAAAAAAACCATTGGGCTTTCAGTTCAGCAAACACAACACTGCTCTTTCAGCTCTGACACTCGGTATTTTGAGCATCAGAAATTGGCAACACTGTCAGGGTAATACGGGATGAAACTGGTCTTAAAAAAAAACGACCAATTCCCAGGAAGCAGCTTAGATAAAATATAGCCACTGATACAGCCACAGCCAAAACCGTACACTTATCTACACAACCACCATTATCTCCATCTTCAGTGTCAATTATTCACACCATATTTATCCATTTGGAGCTTGGGATATTACTCAATTTGAACTATACATTTAACTTAGTATCTACATTGGCACTTATCCATGTCCAATCTACCCATCGAACTCCCCCTATTATACTCCATCAAACCCAACTGATGCTAATTCCAATAATTGGTTCACTTAAGATACGAGCTCATGTACAACCTTGCTCCTATATCAAGTGGTTCATCATCCCCCCCAATTGCATGGAGAACAACAGGGATAGTTGAAAGGAGCCGCACTGTCAGAGGAAAAACAGCAGGACCAATTTCACTACCACCTGAAATGACAGGCTCAGAATCTTTGGATGGCACAGAAACAACTCCTTCCTGGGTTGCGCCACCCTCATAATTAACATCTCCAAACGCCTCCCATTCTGGCTTCAGGTCACATGAGCTAATAATCCAAGCAACATCTTCAAGTGCTCGGCATTTACCAGGGCTACCTCTGTTCTGAGAGCGCTTACTTGTACATAAATCAATCACTAATGCAGATGTCATCTCAAGCCACTCTACAGTCAATCCCTCGACTTCATCATAATATATCCTTCGCTCAATCTACAAGCATATAATTATTGTTGTAAGAAACAATTAAAAACTTGAGAAATAAAAAAGATAATTAACTACTTACTGCAAGTTTATGAATATAGATTGACATGAACTTGGGTCCCAGACCCAAAACTCTAGCTTCCGATAAAAAAGCCTGTATTGAACAAAACATAAATTATGAAGGCAGGGACCAAATTTCAAAAGACAAAAATCCAATCTGAATATAATAATAACATGATCCATTTCAGAATTTTATCTACTAGCCAGTTGCTCTGAAATGCATCAAATTCTCCTTAACAAATAAAAATCTGAAGAAGAAGAATAAGAAGAAGAAGCAGAATCAGAAACAGAGTGTACAATAACTTTTTGGATCAATTTCAGCTAGAATACATTTCAATAATTTCGGGGCTTCCTAAAATCAGAAAACTGTGTTTGTACAGCATAATTTAACATGTTAATGTACTTGTAAGTAATGAAAGTGATGGCATGAAACAACAAAGGAGGAGAAGAAATTTATGCTTGTATGAGAAATTAAAATGTGTTTAGCAATATGGCATGAGTCATGGTGAAGAGTACTTGTCTTTTCATGTACTCTTATACTCAAATAATAATATGAGCAAGCATGTGAGGTCTAACTCTTTCATTCAAATTTTTTTCTTCTCTTGTCCTTTCTCTCTTCTTTCTCTACTCCTTTCCTTATCTCTATTGCATGCAACTAACCACTTATTAGAGCATATAGATTAACAGAGAATTTTTCAGACTGATCAACCTGATATCATCATCCTCTATACTGATGATGCCAGCAACTATCAACTGTATGGACAAGGTTTTTTTGGTAATCTTATGGGCAAGGTGAACCTACAAAAGGCAAACCCTGAAATTTGATATAAGGGATTTAGGGATTTCTTTTTACTTTTCATTTTGATTCAATGAAGATGTAAATGTGTAAATTCAAGTATTCTTTTTTTAGATTGGTAGCTGTGAAATTTTATTAATGTTGTAAATTATGTACAAGTATTTATAGTTTTACGTTACTTCCCAAAACAGATTTTCTCTATTGGTCCCCTGTTCAGTTAAAGTACCTGCTAGTTCATTGGCCGATCTGCCCACCCATCTGCAATTTACTTCTACCTCCCTAGTTAAACTTAGTATTCACTCAAAGTCTGCCTATATACTGAGGCCCCTTACTTATTCTTCATCCAACTTACCACAATTTTTGAGTCACCTTCAACCTCAATTTTCTTGAACTTCAGTTGCTTAACCAACTTCAATCCTTGTAAGGTTGTAGAATTGCTGATATCATTGTTCTTATAGGGTCTCCTTGTCCAATAGGGCCGGAAAAAAGAAAAAGAAAAAAAGGAAAAGCTGACAGCACAGCACCAGAATGCATAATATGAAAAGGGAAATGAGCTCTTTTATTAATAGGAGGATATGAACTTCTACAATGTTTACTTAACTGACAAGTAGAACATTCCAATGACAACAAAGACAATGACTTGAACAAGTTTGGAAACAAAATTTTTAATGAAACAAAGGCAAAATGACTCAAACGACAATGCCATAGGTAAATATGGTCTTGTTACAATGACTCTTCTGCAAACCAGACCGACATAAACTGGTGCCTTTAGAAGAATCAAAAGATTAATGGACATCTCTGGAACATGGTAAACATCAGACAAGCTTAAGCCAACAGAAAAGGAGACAACTCCTTGTCTAGAAATAAAAGAACAAGGGCTATGAACATGTTGTGGAAGAAGCAATATTAGCTACATTAAGTCCTTTGTTCTGTTTCCCCCGAAACTTCTTAGGCTTGCCAACCAAATCTCAATAAAACACTTTTGTGTGTCCAGATCTTTTACAATGAATACACCAAAATTTGTCCTTGTCACCTCCTCCCTTCTTCTGTATCTCACCCTTCTTGTTGTCACCCTTAGACAATAAAGAAACCTACTCCCCCTCAGGAGGACTCATAGCAGCCCTTTTAGTTTCTTCATATTGCACCAAAGCAAACACTTTCTCAAGGCCTAGAAGCTCCTTACCACCCAAAATCTGAATCTGAATAGGCCCACAAACAGATTTCAGGCCTGCAAAGAATGCAAACACCCTTTCTTGAGAGAGCAGTTTTCTGTATGCTGTAGGATCCCCTTCACTCCTCCAATCTATAGACTTGTGATCCAGATCCTTCCACATAGAATTAAGAGCAGAATAATGGGCTACAAGGGACTTCTCTCCTTGTTCCAAAGCTTCTGACTCTACTTGAAGTTGGTAGATTTGGAAAAAGCTCCTTTGTTCAGAGTATGTTGACTTGCTTGGTCCCAAATCTCTTGGGCTTTTTCAGCCCACATAAAGTTCTAAGAGCAGGCTGAATAAGAAGAGATGGGAGAAAGAATTTGGGATTTAGTTGAACAACCACTGGAAGATCTAAAGAGGAAGGAGTTGGAAGAAAATAAAACCACAGAGAATGAGGAAAGAAATGATAAGGTAAATGCTATCATAGTGGATGGAAATATGGACAGTGGGGCAGAGATGGAGGCTGAAAAACAGGAAGGAGACACAGCAGAAAAGTTTGTGGAGAAATTGGAGTGTAAGGTGAAGGATTCTAATGACTTAAAAACATATTTAAGACTTAAGAAAACTGAAGAGAAAGTGAGAAAAAGGAAGATGAGTGAGGTAGAGAGGCTAAAGCTTGATGTGGAAGGAGATAGGGAGTTTAGTCAGAGGAAGGGTAGAAAAAGAAGGGGCAAGTAAATCGGTCGTTTGAGGTAGGGGCTACAAAATTAGTTAATCGATGAAAATGATCAGCTGGAATGTTTGAGGATTTGGGAGCGTGAGGAAGAGAGCCATAATAAAAGAAATGCTGAAGGAGAAATCGGATGTTGTTTTGTTGCAAGAGACCAAGCTCTCGACCTTTGATGACAGTTGGGCCATAAGTATTTGGAGGTCTAGGGGAAGAGGTTGGGCAATGTCACCGTCATGGGGATCCTCCGGTGGTATGGTGGTATTATGGAAGAAGAATGTATTGAAAGGAATGGAGGAATTGATGGGGAAGTTTACAATGTCTTAAATTCCGACAAGAGGATGATGGTTTTAACTGGGAGTTAACATGCATTTACGGACCTAATGAGTACAAGGAGAGGAATGAGATGTGGGAAGAACTTGAAGATAATACAGGATTTGTGGGATGGACCATGGTGTATTGGAGACTTCAACGTGATAAGATTTGTTGAGGAGTCTAACAAGGTGAGAAAAGAGTAACCAAAAGCTTGATGAATTTTTTAGTAGAGGAGTAATTAACCCAAGATTAAATTCTACTTTCATTGCCTTGATTCCAAAGAAAGAAGGGAAAATACAACCTAAGGAGTTTATGCCCATCAGCCTAGTTCACAACCTTTGCAAAATTAGTGCTAAGGTTCTATCAAGAAAAAATAAATCAGTGCTTCCTTCTATTATTTCCTTAAATGAAGGAGCCTTTGTCAAGGACAGGCAGATCATCAACCAAATCCTTATTGCTAATGAGAGTGTGGAGGAGCTAAAAAGATTTGGAAAGAAAAGTTTGATTTGCAAGCTCAATCTAGAGAAAGCATATGATTTGATGGATTGGGATTTCTTAGTGAAAGTGATGAGGAACTTTGGATTTGGAGATAGGTGGTACAAGTGGATTAAAGGATGCATTAGTACTTGTCATTACTCAATTTTGTTTAATGGCACAGTAGTTGATAACTTTCTAGCCTTCAGAGGTATTAGACAAGGGGACCCACTCTCTCCTTTTTTATTCACACTAGTAGCTGAAATGCTAGGTATTCTTTTCCAGAGAGCATATGTGAGGGGTTTCATGAGAGGTTGGAGAGTGGGAAGAGAAAGAGTGCCTATTACTCACTTGCAGTTTGCTGATGATACTGTCCTATTTTGTAAGGGAGGTAATCTAAATTCGGTGAGGAATATGAAGGAGGTGATCCAAGTATTTGAGAAAATGACAAATCTGAAAATCCAAACAATTTATTTTTTCCTCAATTGCATTAGTTCAAATAGCTAGTGTGGTGTAAAACATCTTGCATTCTTGATTCTACGAGTCACCTTTGTACCAAGCCCCTCGAGGCAAGTCCAAACAAATCCATGTAGGGTTTTAAACTCTTAATCCTTACACAAAATTAAATCATTTTATAATTGTCTTTTAAGAAGATATTTTTGTGTAAGGATTAAGAATTTAAAATCCTACATGGATTTGTTTGGACTTGCCTCGAGGGGCTTGGTTGGAGGTCCGGGGGTGGAACCCCTAGTCCAGCCTTTTTTTGAAGAATAAGATAAAAATTCATTAGCAAAAGAAAATAGAATACAATAGGAAGGTGATAAGACATCACTCGAAGAGGAAAAAAACCCAAAGAGCCCAACAAAGATCTCAAAAGTCCCATACTAAAAACCCATAAAACCAAAATTGGCAAAAACTTTAAAGCTTTTCTCAAAACAATCTCAAGCACAAGCCAAGAAAACAAACCAAGAAATCCCCATAAGAGCAAAAGCATCTGAACCCACCCCTAAGCAGAAACTTAAACCCTCCTTGCTCCATGACCAAAGCCTCAATCTTCCACCACAAAGTCATCCTCCCAGCTTGAAACATCTTCGTCCCCAGCCCAGCCTTTAGGTTAAAAAAAAAAAATGGTGTAAAAAATTAAAAAAAAACGCACGCCTGGGCTGAAGAGCAAGGCATAGCCTCTTGAAAGTGCTGCGCCTAGGACCTAGGCAAGGCGCATACCTTAAAATGCGCCTTTTAAATCACTGGTTGTAACTGTTTTAATTAATGAATGAATGCAATCTTCTTCTTTGCTGCTGATTAAGAAAAAGGTAACGAGTGTGACAAACAAAAGAGAAAATAATGAACGATAGTGACATGATGAATAGAAGAGTGTATATTCACATATTAGTTAATTTCATCCATGATTTGCAATATTAGTGAGATTTGGCAAAATTTCCCCAAAATCTCCCCATTTTGCTGGGGGGTAAAATGAAAATTTCCAAGAATCTTTTTTTTAATATCTCCAACAATCTACTGACATGTCAATGATATTTCAGATTCCACTGATGGACTATACCTTTAAAATTTCAAACTTTCGAATATTATTAGAAACTTTCTGGTGTTTTATTAAAATCATCATAATTTAAAAAAAAAAAAACACCTAAAAGTACAAATGGGGATTCAGTGGTTCAATTATTGGCATATTATTTTCATATGATTCACTTAAAAAGTCACTACAATTCAAAAAAGAAGAATTAAAAACATCAACTACAAAAGAGGATTCTCAATCTAAGTAAAACTTTTTAGCAACAAAAAAGACAAGTCAAAATGGCAACTAAATGACATACATAATGAAGACAAGATGGATAAAAGGATAAAAAGGAGATGGAGAGAAAGCTATCTATTTAAGTCTCTTAATCTTCTCTTATTTGATTTATACAATCGTTTGCTATGGTTTTCTAATCCTTAAAATGTGTAAATATACTTCTAAATACTTTAGTGAAATTAGCATAATCTCTTCCAAATTTTCCCATCTCTACATGGAAAAATCTCGATCAATATCAAAACCGCTAACTATAATTTCAGCCAGACTTCGTTGCAATAATTTCAGGCCTTCCTAAAATCATAAGAAGATGATGCAACCCAGAGATCCTAATTCAAATTTATTTTTGCATATCAGACTACAATATGTAAATGTACCCATAGTAATTAAAATGATGGCATAATACAATAAAAGAGAAAATAGTGAATAGTACAGACATGCGAAGGGAAGAATATACACTCACCCTTGCAATAATTGGCTTCCTTGTAACTAAAGCATTTTTTTTATGGACAACAGATTATTTACCGATTAAAAATGAGAAAAGTATCTTCTATTCTATCCATATTCAGTTAATAAATATATTAGGATAAAGGGTATCTGAACAGTTTTTCCATGTGTAAGTTATAGTTTAAAAGCAGATTTTGCACATCTAATGATTATCACCAAGATAACAACACAGAAGCATGAGAACTCTCTTCAAATTTCATATGAAACTTTCTCATATACCCAGAAGGTGGAGGAACATACTTTTAAGGGTGACTGAACATCAATAGCTACCAATGGGAAAGCTAGAATATTGAAAATGAACTTAGAGCAATCACAGTAGAAACATCCAGTAGTAGAACTAGGAAAAGCCATAAGAAAAGTATACGTACATCTTTCCTTTTCAGCAGAACCCACATGTACAGTTTGTCAGCAGCATCTTCAGCATTCCTACTAGATACTTTTCTCTCATTGCAATGAGCAGCAACATCTGAAAGTACTTCTGTAGAGGGAACTCCATACTTCAATGCTGCAGCTAATAATGCTTCCTGGCCTTCTTTGGACTCTATAGCATTTTTATCAAAATAGATATTGGTGAAATAATTCCTTGCAACTGCCTCCTGCTTAATTGATTTAAGCAGTGTCTTTTGTCCCTTCAGGTACATATCTTGAGCTTCTATAACAGCACCCAATGTTCGATGAACCACAATATCAGGATATCTACGCAATGGTGATGTAAAATGCGTATAGAGAGAAACAGCCAATGAATAATGAGACCATTCATTCTCCCTGTCTTTTAATTCTCCACTACAAAAGTACGCAGCCAACTGCATTGGCTTTGAAGCATATGAGATGAGAATATCAAACAATGTAGGGTCATTATTGAGCTTTTCTCTGATCTTTTCCAGTGAATGGTGAAGCTGGCCGGAGGAAGAAGCATCTAATTCTAAACCACGCTTTCTACAAAATGACTCAAAATCTCTTAGCTTCCGTGAATTAGGTTCTGGATGCCTACGCAATAATGCACAACTTGGAAAAGCTCTAGATATGACTTCTGCAACTGTCCTGTTAGCCAGGAGCATGAACTCCTCCACGAGAAAGTTCGAACCCTTCCGCTCGCATAGCATACTGTCATAAGGTATTCCACATTCATCAAACAAGAAAACCAGCTTGGGACTCTCCAAATGCAGTGCCCCACCTTTGAACCTGTTCTCTTTCAAAATCTTGGAAATYTCATGGAGGCTTTTGATAGACCTGATGACATCACACCACTGAAACTGCCCAAGCAATTCTGGACACCCATTTCTGAAGTCATTAGGACTCTCAACATCTACTAATCCATTAATGATATCCTGAGCATGCTCATAGGACATCTTACAACATGAGCGGATAACAGTACGACCTATCCAGCGATCCACTGTTTCCCCAGCAAGATTGATGTCCCAGAAAATAGAGAATGCAAGTCTATCCACCCCAGGAATAAGTGAACCCAAGTTCTCTGAAAGTAGTGAGGGCAACAAAGGTAGCTTATGCTGCAAAAGGTAGACACTAGTAGACCGAATTTGAGCTTCCATGTCCAAAGATGTGTCTGGCAAAACAAAATATGACACATCTGCAATGTGGACACCAACTCTGAAAATGTCAACAGACACCCTTTCAACTGATAAAGCATCATCAAGATCAATGGCAGTAAAAGGATCAATAGTAAATATACAGAGATTTCTGAGATCTTTTCTTCTTTCTATTTCCTCCACAGGCACCTCCCATGGGGTTTTGGGAAGGCAGGATAGAGATTCAGATGAGAATTCAGCACCAGGAATTGCATATTGGAACAAAATAGCGGCAATATTTGATTCAATTTCTCCACCCCGTCCAAGAATATACATGACATGGGCTTCTGGCAGAGTACTTTCTTCCTTCCAATTATCAATTCTTGCAGCCACTAACTCCATCTCAACTGTTGGATCACCCTTCTCCAGTCGTGTCTTCATGCCAATTGGCAAGCTTATAACAGAAACTGTCATTTTAGGAAATTTTGGATCAGTGGGTATCAACTGGATGTATTCCCAACCAGAGAATGATATAGAATTCCTGTTTTTCTTGTTTTCCTTTTTATGCCCTTCCCTATAGGAAAGCCACTTTTTAACACCAAGAAAACCAACAACAGTGTTACGCCGAGGAGATTTTTCAATGACAGCTACTACCCTACCAGTTGGTCGCTTTGATGGGAAAGAATTTATCATGGCACATAACTTTCCTACTGAATTTAAAGGTTCACTCTTGTCAAAGGAACAAACTGTACTTGAAAGGTCAATAATAGAGGAATGACATGCATTTGACCCACAACAATAACTTATAGGTTCGACTCTCAGCTCTGCATCAACAGCTTCGCTAGCAAAGGCTCTGTCCAAATTATGAAATTCCTTCCCAGTAAGGGGAAGACTACTTCCACTATCAGCATCTTCAGACTCAATATCTAGTTTATCCTTCCCTTTGTGGTTATTACCAAGAATATCCATGTCTCCAGGGAGTACATTACAATCATTCATTGGGGTAGATTCATTGAAATGGCCAGCTGACCCTTTGAGCCTGGTCCAAAATGGCAAAGGGTCCAACTGAACTGCCACAACATCTCCTTCAACCTACAAGGGAGAAAACATCACTTAAATAAGAACAAGCAAAAATAAATGAATGAACACAAGCATCTTGACAAAAATGTAGTCACCGGCTACTTTCAAAAGGGGAGATGAAAGAAAATATGTTAGCCCAATAGTTTKATTTGGACTCAGACAAGAATAATGTTGCCCAAATTGCAGATGATATCAAGTAACCAGCATCTCCTGTAACCGCCAATTACAAGCCAATTATCTCCATGAGTTTGGGGCTTGGTATTAGGTAGGCTCCATAGACATTAGACTAGTGAGCCATGAGTGTTATTAGGAACAAGAAAAATTAATGATCCCAATATAAGTGATAAACAGTTTATGTATTTATCCTAATGCAGTTACACCAAATCATTTTTTACTCTGCAGTTACAGATAACTCTAAGCCAACCCCATATGGTTGCAACAAGGATTAATAGGTTGAGAAACAGGTAACTCTAGATGGTTGTTGGCTTGTTATTGGTGGCATCTGTGTCATTGCATATTCCTTTTTCCCTATATGCATGTGCCTCGTTTTGGGTTCTGAAGGGTTGGAGAATGCCAGGATCAAATGGTTCTTTGATTGTAGATGGGCCCTCGCATGATTGTTATGTTTGGAGTAAGACGCTAGATAAATTTTCCAGATATCTGCAAAAACCATTTACAGGATCCAGACTTATATTACAGTGGTAGTTTGTCTTTCTGCAATTTAAGTTCCTACCTGTTGAAAGGACAGAATAAAACATAGCTTCACAGGAAAAGCAAGAAAAATAAATATGTTAATGAGTGGATCATCCTCCCATACAATATGATAAATTATTCAGTTGGCCCATAGATATCTAAGTATTCAGTCACACTTTCTCTCATATACAATTCACTTGCATGTGTTGTGCCTCTACTTGCAGGAAATAGTATTATTTTGGTTTGCTCATTTATCTTGAAGGAAATAGAGGAATTTGGTTTCTCAGATTTTTTTTTCTTTTTATGGATGACTTTAAAGAATTTTATTAGATTTGGTAAAAGAATATTTTGAAGTGTTTTTTGACTTGCACCCCCCTAGCTACACTGAGTAACAAACTCTACATTTTCATTTTTTTATCCCTTTAGTAGGGGTGATCATTCTTGGCCTGGGCCTAGCTTTTTGTGTGCAGGCACAAGTCTGCATCAAGCACGGAAAATTCTAGGCCAGGCTTGGGCCCAACACATAAGGCCTGGCCCAACCCACAATATAATATAACATATATTATTAAATAAATTATATATAATATACATAATATTTTAATATTCAAATATATTTTATTTTATATTAAATGTTTATTATTTAATATAAAATATAAAACTTTTAACATATTAACAAATATTCATGAATTGACACCTGTCAACAAAGAGTCAACACATGTGTCAATGCATGAGTCAACTCAAGTATGAGAGTTGTCCTCCTGACAAGAATAAAAATTGTATGCTTTAACTATGCCAGTTCTAACTTGTGTCTTACACTTACAATCTCAAGCCTGGATCTGAGAGGTTTGAGTGAGGTTGGTAATTGTGTAATCTGTTTCCCAAATTCATATGAAGAATTTTATGCTTTGTATTCGAGACTGAGTGAGTGGAATGCATTATCCAGATATGAAATGCACAACTAGAAATATGGACATAACAAATTGCAAAATACTAACTGAATGAAATTAATAATGGAAAGTAGACTTCCAACTAGTTTCTTTGGGAGAAGCAGCATCAAACCACAAAAATTGCTCCAAACTTACAGCTCTATTTTGAGCCACAGCTCCACTAATGAGCACATCTATTGGTACGCCGTCAATGGTGCAGTATGCCTGACAACATGGAATTATTTAAATTATCTATTCAAAAAATCATTGATCAAGGAATATCAGAAAACATCATGAATGTAGCACAAGGAACAGATGATTAGACTTCATACCTCAACCCGATTATAAGCATTCACATGGAATGATGCTCTAACCACATCACCTCTCTGCAAAAAGGGGAAAAATGCCTATAGTCTTACTCTCATCCAACCATCTTTATATATTCTTAAATATGAGCAAAGAATACACCATAGAAAGGACTACATTGAAATTCATGGTACAACTTACCTCTATGGCTTCATTAACAGTCTCAGCTGACCAGTGAGGATCAAAATACTTTCTCTGCATAACAGCATAACATTTAGGGTTCCGGAGAGGAAAATTTACTTTATTTACAATTGATCCATTTGCCTCTTGATGACATAGTTGCTCTGGACATGATTTAGAATACATTGTTACTCTTGAATCAGATGGAAAGAAATAAGCATCTTGCATACTACCCCCATCAACCATCAATTCCTTATCACGGGTATGCATCGTCAGAAAAGAACAGAAAGAAACATTTGATACCCTGGATGGTCTATTATTTTTCAATGCATGGACATCCGACTGGTATTTCTGTGATGAGGATGCACTCATGGACAAAGCTATGTAACTTGAGGTGCTACCTTCTTCCAATCTAGATGTTTTGCCAAGCATTCCACTAAGTGAACTGTCAATCACTCCTGTAAAAATAGGTGAGAAAAATCAATGAAGAAAAATAAGATACACAGTATATATTCAAAGCCATTGAATCAAAATAAGTATAAGCTTTTTTGATGTAGGAAACATCACAGGTATGTAAACCAAATATAAATTAGAGGAGCAAGCTGGATTAAACAAGTTTCACCACAATGAAATGATAACCTAATGGCTGCTTTCAAGGCAGGCTACCCTAGAGAGACACAAGCTTAGAAGAGAACTGGAAAAGTTGATTCACAAAGAAGAAATATATCAGAGAGAGAAATTAAAGCTATATGAATCAAATAGGGCAATAGAAATACAGCCTATTCCCATGCATATAGGACTAAAGGATAATAAATTGCATATGCAGAGTGCAAGTAGGGGAAGAGGTATTTGATATGCAGGAAGAGATAAAAGTGCAATTAGAAACTTCCATAGAGCCATACACTGGAATGCCAAGAAGAATACGTTTTTTTTTTGGAAAATAGAGAAGTTACGAGGCTTGGAAGAGAAGAAGCAGAATGGGTGCAGAGGGGTTTCGAATCGGAGGAAGTGTGGGGGACAGTGAATAGTATGAATGGGGAGACAGCTCTAGGTTCAGAAAATTTTAATATGAGATTTTCTTAGAAGACGTTGGAGTACAATAACAAACATAATCTTTTGAGGAGCCACATGATCATAAATCATTAGAGATAGATCTAATTCGACCTTCATTACTCTCATCCCAAAGGAACGGCAATGATTAATGATGTTAGGTCAATTAGTATTATCTCCAGTCCTTATAAGATAGTTGCTAATGTGCTGTCATGAAGACTAAAGAAATTGATAGAGAAGGTTGTTAGACCTCATGGTTGAACCAAATAACGTTTGTGGACATTCAATAAATTTTGGAAAGAGTATTACATGCAAGTGAATGCATATATTCAACAATAAAATAAATCCAGGTTTGATAAACCTTTTTTTTAGAAAATGTGACAATTTTATTCAAAAAAGGAGAGATGTACATGAGAGGACGTATAAAAAAAGGGCTACGAAACAAGGAAAAAATAGCCCACTCAAGACATAAGTAAGCTATTTGTACTATACAAAATGTTTCTCTCCTATCCAGATTTAGCTAAAAGAATTAGCCTTTTGATTCAGTTCTCTTGGACTTCACCTATAGCAGCAGCCAAGGGAAAAACAGATAACTCATTAATTTCATGAAGAAAGTGAGCCAGCCTCTCCAAGGCCAGTCCCAGAATTATTAGCCCAGCCAATCACATTACTGGAATCACTCTCGACTAGCAGAGAAGCAGCTTGGGTACCTTTAGCAAATCTGAGGCCCTCAAGAAGAGCCCAAACATCACTTCCATAGGCATCCCTTGCAGAAAAAGGGCCACTAAAAACCCAAGTCAGAATACCATCTGACCTCAAGATGACCCCCCAATTCCAACTTTAATATYATCCAAAATTTTCAAGCTGCCATTGAACTACAAAAACAAAAGGCAGTAAGAGGTCTTGGATCTAGAAATATAATGGGCTGAAGAACCAAAGGGAGGAGCTTAGGATTTCAGCAATATTACTATCAAGATCCCCATAACTGACTCCAGAGAAGCTCTTGTTGGTCAACATCAAAGAGTTTACTTAGAGCTGTCAATGGGTTGGGTCTGGTTCAGGACAGGGTTTACCGGTCCTGAACCAATTAATTATTAATTGGTTCCAATTGATAGACCCATAACCAATCCAATTATTAATTGGGACAATCAGGTCTGACCCGATTAAACCTAATTATAGTTGAGATCTATAATTACCTATGATGATAACAACTTAAAACTGATCTTTGATAATATAAAAGTAGATATTAAAATCAGCAAAAAAGTGTATTTGAATAAGAAAAGAGAGATTGGAAGAAGAGAAATAGAGATTCACAACGGTGGAGAGAAGATGGAAGAAGAGGGAATTGGAGAAGAATGAATTGTGTTCCTTTCCAGACCCATAAATAAGTTTTATTAGAGCAAATCATAATTAATAATGAAATTACATAGATGCCCTTAGTTGGGTGGCAGACTCAATAAACATACAAAGAAGACTGTAACAGGCACAAAAATGAAGACCCACTAACTCAGAAATAAAATGTAATGAAAAGACAAACAAATAATAGAAATTAAGGCCTATTCAGCCCAATATCTCTACACTCCTCAAGCTGGCATAGATGTCAATCATTTTTCTTTTCTGATCGGCAGCATAGATGTCAACCATGCCCAACTTGCTTATATAATGTTGCAACTTCGCCTTGAAACTCCCTTRGTCAAAACATCCACCAACTGTTCCTTAGAAGCAATGAACAAAAAGCAAGCTTCTCCTAATGCTAACTCTAGGACAGGGTTTAACTGGAATCTGGAGTTCAGGAGGGAACTTAAGGATTCCAAATTAGCTAGTGTCTTGTCACTGCTTCAGTTATTAGGAGTTTTTCTGGATCCCAATAAGTTTGACAGGTGAATTTGGACCCTCTCTTCATTTAGATCTTTCTCATGTGCATCTTTCTTTAGGACTTTAACCCTTCCTACTGACAGTCTTGGGCAGCCATTTCTGGTTAAGAAGGTGTGGAGTAAACCCATTCCCCCCAATAAGTTTGACAGGCAAACCCATTCCTGGAACCTCTCAAACCATGCTCAAGAAGACTGTTTAAGTYCATAAAAGGATTTCTTTAGCTTGCATACCTTGCCCTACATCTCCTTACCATACCTACCAAGGAGGAAGAGACATGTATACTTCTTCAATCAAATCCCCATTCAAAAAAGCATTCTTAGCATCAAACCGATATAGGGGCCAATCACAATTCGTTACTAAATATAAGAGAACCCTCATAGAGGTTATTTTAGCCACCAAAGAAAAGGTTTCCATATAATCTTATCTCATACATCTGAGTATAACCCTAGGCAACGAGACGAGCCATATATCTCTCAATAGTACCATCAACATGATACTTAATGGTGTAAACCCTCTTACACCCAACCAGCTCCTTTCATCAGGCAAGTCTACAATGTCTCAGGTAATGTTTTTATAGTATTTCTATTTGAGTCTTCTTAGCATCCCTCCATTATATAGTTGATATAGCTTTTGGTACAGAGTTGGGGATAAATTGAGAAGAAATAAAGGCCAGGATAGAATAAGAAACTAATTTTGATGGGATAGGCAGTGCATTCCTTTTTCCTTTTTGAATTGAAATGGGAAGGTCAAGGTCAGGTTGTGAGATATGTGGCTTAGCAAAAGTAGGAATAGGAAGCTCAGAGTCAACAATAGTCTCAGGTTTAGGGTTGCTTTTAGAATTACTTAGAGTCAAGTGATCAGATTGTCGTGGACATTCAACTTCATGAGTAACCTGTTTGCATCTTATGAACCACTATTGCTAGGATTGCTGCTGAAGAATAGGGGGAGGAGTAGGAATATTGTCACTTAAAGTGGGAAGAGAAGAAGATGAACTAGGAATATCCAAAAAATCAGGAACAAAGAGAACGGAGTCCGATCTTCACTAACACTCTCCCCATGAAGAAAAGGACGAGGTAACTGAAAAAAAAAGTAGACTCAAGAAACGTAACATCCTTAGACACATACCATTGGCCAAAGTGAGAATCAAAGCACATGTACCCATTTTGGACTGGAGAGTAACCCAGAAAAACACACTTGATGGACTTAGGATCAAGTTTGAGGCAATGGCTCAAATCATAAACAAAGCAATTACAATCAAAGACTTTGAGAGAAAGACAAAAAACGAGATCATTAGGAAAAAAAAAAGTTGATAAGGAGATTGAGGGTGAAGGCTCTATAAAGGAAGTCTATTAATGAGATGTATCACTACTTCAACTACATCTCCCCAAAAATGAGTAGGCACATCTAGAAAAGTAGCACTCTGGCAACTTCAACCACATGCCTATTTTTCTCTCCGATACACCATGTGGAGTATGGGAACATGAGCTTTGATGACTTGCCTTATTTTCGTCAAGGAAGAATTATAGATGCTTATAAACGTACTCAACATTGTCAAAACTTATTATCTTGATGTTCCTCTCAAATTGAGTTTCCACCATTCTAAAATCTCTACTCTTCATCAAATATAGCTATGTGTATCGAGAGTAATAATCAATGAACAAGATAAAGTAGTTATAGCCACCTATACAAGGAATAGAATATGGGCCCCAAACATCAATATGTATCAAGCTAAAAGCAACATCACTTTTTCTATTGCTTGCAAAATATGTAGTCTTACATTGCTTTGATAGATGACAAACTTCACATTGCAAATTCAAATTGGACACAAACTAACACAAGTTTGGAAACAAAAACTTAATGAACTTAAAAGGCACATGACCAAGATGGAAATTCCACAACTTCAAAAAGATTCAAATTTTCACTTTGAAATGTCTCGTTATGGCATAATAATCCTTGCTCAGGAGCTTGATCAAAAAGGTAAACTCCATCAGCTTCATGTCCAGATTTTTGTGCAATTATGTAATTTGGTAAGAGAGCTAATAGATAAACAATTTTTGTGCAACTAAAGAACATGATGGATTGAGCTCAGTGTAGAGAGAGTGAGCTGAATGGGCCCTAGTATCTGTTTTTATGTTTAAGTAGTATGTTATTTGTTTTGTATGTTAATGGGCCTGTCTTTATGGGCCTGTTAACCTCTTTTATACGTTCTTGCTTAGCTGGCCGCCCACTTAGGGGCAGACTTGTAATTAACCTAGTTAATGAAGATTAATAAAAGAATTAGTGAAGGGTGAGAGGAGATTATCGAACTCCTCCTTCTTTCTCCCTTATTCTCTATATTTTTCTTCTGAAATATTTTACTGTTCTTTTATTGGACTAAATCACATCTCTCAGGAAAAGATTATGAGTGAGTTTGACACCCAGACCCAAGATTGGAGTTGAAGATCCATCAACTATAGTGATATTACCTTTCCCTGTCCTATAACCTTCTATGCCCTACCTATTACTCTTTTCTTGCTTTTGTTTCTACCCATGT